ACACACACACACACACACACACACACACACACACAATATATAACTGTTATTGATACTTGATTTGTCTTTAATTAAGTGATGGCGTGCCTTTGAATTTGCAACAAAACAGTAGTGATTAGACACACACACACACACCTTCCTCTGTGTGAGCAAACAAACGAACACGAATTAGGCCCAGCCTCTTTGTGTGAATGGAGGGGCCAACAAAGATGCTCCACAGAGTGATGTGTCATTAGTGAGCAGGTGGGGGGACGACGACACGGAGCTGCTCTCTCTTCAGCCCCGTAATGAAGAGTTTACCATGACGACCGGGCCCGCCGGTCCCCCCCGCCTGTGGACCGTGGAAGGGGGTGTGTGCGCTGGAGATCAAAGTTGGCCGTCCTCGACTTGGCTGTGAGCGGAGGGTTAAACGCTGGGGCTGCAGAGGAAGAGCCCCTCATTAAACTGAAGCAGGTCTTTGGACTGAGCTGCTTCTCCGAGTCGTCCGGTTGATGTTTTAACCACTCGGAGTTAAACTGCAGCAACAGGCTGGAGAGGGGCAGAGTCCAGTGAGACGAGCGCAGCTCTCAGAACAAGAAGCCTGGACTGTCTCCAGTAAGAAGGTTAAAACCATTAAAGCGTTCTCTTGAGGAATTCACTTATTTTTGTTCTGTGGCATCCATCATCGCGTGAATTCTGCTGTTTTTGTTTTACACCCAGACTAGTCCTGCATATTTTATTTTAACCCCATTCTTTATTAAAACGTTTAACTCAATGCATAATTAATTTTTTAAGCTTTTCAAAATATTTATAACTTTACAAGTTAAGATTCCCCATAAAACCAATTTAATTCAAAAGTTTTTCTCTTTGAAATCTACATTAACAAACTTTTTGTTATGCTACTTTTAGTAGCAACTTTGCTCATTTTAGCTATTGTTTTGCTTAGCAACATTTGTCCAAATATCAGCTACTATTTTAATAATTAATTTAGCTTCACTGACTGTTTAGTTGCAGTTTAGCTAATATCTGTTTTAACATTAGCTATAGTGTCTAGTTTGCTAATTTTAGCTTTTAGCCACGTTAGCTCCCTGTCTCCCTGACTCGCTCTCCTGGTGGTCCAGTCATGGGACACAGTTTGAAAGGCCTCGCACGGAGGTGATGGTGGTGGTGGTGGTGGTGGGGGGGGTCTTCCAAATCCTATTAAATCCTTTTGTCATACATCCAGGGATTTATTAGTCATTAAACAATAATAACAGCATCTGTGGCGCATTTAGAGCTTCATCTGATGAAAGGCTGAAGGCTTCAAACACTGAAAGCACTTTAATCTTATAAAAACGACGTTGTGCTCCCGTGTGGTTTTGTTCAGACCATCCAGACGTATAAATACAGCTTCTATCTAACGGTCGCTCTGTACAGTGGAGGTTCTGCTGCTTCGCTCGGTCCATGAGAAACATTAATAACTGGACCTGTGATTTATCGCCTGAACTCAGCGGAGTCTTTTTGAGGGGGGAGACCAGACAAAAGCCGGGACCCTCGGCCTCCTGGTGTTTTTAATAGTTCTGTAGGATGTGGAAGAAGAAAAACACCGTAGTCCTCTGGGAGGGGGGGTTTCAGTTGTTGAGATTGAGTGTTTCAAATTAAAAGTAGTAAATTCAGATGATTGTCCTAATATTTATTCCTCTGAGGTAAAATGAAGAAAATGAGCTGAATGAGGTTTTTTTTTTTTTAAATTACCTGCTTGTTATTGAGGGAGTAACTAAGATTTAATTAATGTAAAATTAATATAAATGATAAATTACGTTTATGTTTTAACTTTCATCTCTGCTTCCTGAAACCTACAAGATAAACGGTCATGTTTACCTTTCTGTTGCTTTTATCTGTTTTGAGTCATTTTCATCTGAGAAACTTCTCTCCTCTTTCTGTTCTTCAGTTTATTACAACTCGTCTACAAATCATTTATCTCCTTCCCCCACCCTCCTTTATTTTTCTTTCTTTGGGGGGGGGGCATCTTTTTTTCTACTCTCCCAGCTGGGTTTGTTGACTCATATCTGTGGTTGTGTTTCACCTTTCTCACCCTTCTTTTTAACTCTCGGGCCCCCACCTCTCAGATCTGCCCCAACAGTAAAGCTGCCACAGCTGTGGACTGTATTAGCATAGCTGCTGAGGCGCGAGCTGGGGGTGCAAATATATTGCAGCCATTAGCTTTTGTTCAACTGTTGACACTTTTAAAACATTTTGGCTTCCCTCTGTGCAAAGAGACAGTGGAGATGAGAAGGCCGAGATGATTTCAGTCTAACAGCTTTTTAAAGACCAGACAGAAGAAAAGAGGCAGCGACTGAAAAAAATCAATTAACGAAAGAGCCGAATGACAGCTGAAATGTCTGAAAACAAAACTGAAACTGAGTTAGTAATGTGAAAAGAAAAACACTAGCACAAAGCTAAAAACAACACTTGCTAAAAGCTTAAACACCACGAACTATAAGCTTAAAGAGCACTAGCTAAAGCTACAAAGAACACTAGCTTTAAGCTTAAAAAACAGTAGCTCAAAGCTACGCAAGCACTAGCTTGAAGCTTAAACAGTAGCTTAAAGCTACAAAAGCACAAGCTATAAGCTTAAAAACAGTAGCTCAAAGCTACAAAACACTAGCTATGAGCTTAAAAACAGTAGCTCAAAGCTACAAAACACTAGCTATAAGCTTAAAAAACAGTAGCTCAAAGCTATAAGACACTAGCTATAAGCTTTAAAAACAGTAGTTCAAAGCTACGAAAACACTAGCTATAAGCTTAAACCGTAATTTAAAGCTACAAAAGCACAAGCTATAAGCTTAAAAAACGGTAGCTCAAAGCTACAAAACACTAGCTATAAGCTTAAACNCAAGCTATAAGCTTAAAAAACGGTAGCTCAAAGCTACAAAACACTAGCTATAAGCTTAAACAGTAGCTTAAAGCTACAAAAGCACAAGCTATAAGTTAAAAAACGGTAGCTCAAAGCTACAAAGCACTAGCTATAAGCTTAAACAGTAGCTCAAAGCTACAAAAGTACTAGATATAAGCTTAAAAACATTATATCAAAGCGATAACACTAGCTATAAAAGAAAAACAGTAGCTTAAGATGAAAAGAACAAAAGCTATAAAATGAAAACTTTTGAAAACTGTAATTTCATTGTGCTTTGTACAATGACAATAAAGGTCTATCTAATCTAATCTAATCTAATCTAATCTAATCTAATCTAATCTAATC